GCAACCCTCGGCGTTGCTCCCGCGCCTCGCTCAGCCAGTGAGCGGGAACCGGTCTGTATGTGGGATCCAAACCCTCGGGCGGGAGTGCCGCCGCGCTTCCCAAGCGGCGCACTATCCAGTGCGCCACCGGGCCGGCCCCCAAACAGGGACAGTTTGACTTTGTCTTTTCCTATCTGGATGCCCTTTATGTCTTTCTCTTGCATAATTGCTCTGGCTAGTACTTCCGATACTATGTTAAATAGTGATGAGTGTGGGCATACTTGTCTTCTTCCTGTTCATAGGATGATATGGGGATGATGGTTTGTCATATATGGCTTTTATTGTGCTGAGATACTTTCTATACCTAAATTGCTGAAAGAGCCTTTATCATGATGGGATGTTGAATTTTTTTTTTTTTTATCCTTTTTGAGACTGGCCGCACCACGCTCAGCCAGTGAGCGCTGTGAGCGCGCTGGTCATCCCTATATAGGATCCGAACCCGCGGCGGGAGTGCTGCTGTGCTCCCAGCGCCGCACCCTCCCGAGTGCGCCACGGGCTTGGCCCAGGATGTTGAATTTTGTTGATTGCGTTTTCTGGGTCTATTGACATAATCATATGGTTTTTGTCCTTGATTTTATTGATGTGGTGTATCGCATTTATTGATTTGTGTATGTTGAACCATCCTTGCATCCCTGGGATGAATCCCACTTGATCGTAGTGTGTAATTTTTTTGATGTGTTGCTATATTCTGATTGTTAATATATATATATTTTTTTTTGTCTTTTTTCCGTGTCTGGCAACGGATCGCAACCCTCAGTGTTGCCCCCGTACCGGACCGGGGACCGGCAACGGGACTGCAACCCTCGGCGTTGCTCCCGCGCCTCGCTCAGCCAGTGAGCGGGAACCGGTCTGTATGTGGGATCCGAACCCTCGGGCGGGAGCGCCGCCGCGCTTCCCAAGCGGCGCACTTATCCAGTGCGCCACCGGGCCGGCCCATGATTGTTAATATTCTGTTGATGATTTTTGCATTTGTGTTCATCAGAGATATTGGCCTATAGTTTTTTTTTGTTGTTGTATCTTTGTTTGGCTTTGGTATTGGTGTGATGCTGGCAGAATGAGTTTGGNCTGTTGATGATTTTTGCATTTGTGTTCATCAGAGATATTGGCCTATAGTTTTCTTTTGTTGTTGTATCTTTGTTTGGCTTTGGTATTGGTGTGATGCTGGCAGAATGAGTTTGGGAGAGTGGCCTCTTTCAATTTTTTGGAATAGTTTGAAGAGAATTGGTATTAAATCCTCTTTAAAGGTTTGATAGAATTCAGCAGTAAAGACATGTGGTCCTGGGCTTTTCTTTGTTGGGAGACTGCTGATTACTGCTTCAATCTCATTGCTTGATATTGGTCTGTTCAGGATTTCTGTTCCTTCTTGGTTCAGTCTTGGTAGTTTGTATGTATCCAGCAATTTATCCGTTTTCTCTAGATTTTCCTATTTATTGGCATGCAGTTGTACAAATAGCCTCTAATGATTCTTTGCATTTCTGAGGTATTGGTTTTTATGTCTCCTTTTTCACTTCTTCTTCTTTTTTTTTTTTTTTTTTTTTTTTTTTTTTTTGTCTTTTTTTATGACTGGTAAGGGGATTACAACCCGCACCACACTCAGCCAGTGAGCGCACCGGCCCATCCCTATATAGGATCCGAACCCGCGGCGGGAGCGCCGCTGCGCTCCCAGCGCCGCACTCTCCTGAGTGCGCCATGGGGTCGGCCCTCCTTTTTCACTTCTGATTTTTGTTATTGGGTCTTCTATTTTTTTGTTAACCTAGCTAATTGTTTGTCTATTTTATTTATCTTCTGAAAAAACCAACTTTTTATTTCATTGATCTTTTGTATCATTATTTGGGTCTCTATTTCATTGGGTCCTGCTCTCATCTTAACTGGTTTTTTTTTTTCATTTACTATTTTTAGGATTGAATTGTTCTTGTTTTTCTAGTTCTTTGAGGTGTAGTGTTAGGTTGTTTATTTGAAGTCTTTCTATTCTTTTGATGTAAGCATTTGCAATAAAATTCCCTATTAGTACTGCTTTTGCAGTATCCCACAGGTTTTGGTATCATGTGTCTTTATTTTTGTTAGTTTCAAGAAATTTTTTGATTTCCTATTTAATTTTTTCTTGGACCCAGTGGTCATTCAGGAGCCTGTTGTTTAATTTCCATGTATTTGTATAGTTTCCAGAGTTTCACTTGTTATTGATTTCCAGTTTTAATCTGTTGTGGTCTGAAAAGATGCTTGAAATGATTTTGATATTTTAAAATTGTCTGAGACTTGATTTGTGACCTAATATGTGGTCTTTCTTGGAGAATGTTTCATGTGCTGATGAGAAGAATNGATCCTATATAGGATCCGAACCCACGGCGGGAGCGTTGATGCACTCTCAGTGCCGCTGCGCTCCCAGCGCCGCACTCTCCTGAGTGCGCCACGGGCTTGGCCCCTAAGATGTAGTTTAAATCCTGTATTTCTCTATTGATTTGTTGCCTAGATGATCTGTTCAGTGCTGAGAGAGGTTTTCAGGTCCCCCACTATTATCTTACTGGGTTCTATCTTTTTCTTTAGGTTTAATAGTGTTTGCTTTATATATCTGGGTGCTCTGGTGTTGAGTGCATACATGTTTATGATTGTTATGTCTTCTTGCTGGATAGATCCTTTTATTGTTATATAGGGGCCTTCTTTGTCTCTTTTTATCGCTTTTGGTTTAAAGTCTGTTTTATCTAATATAAGGATAGCTACTCCTGCTTATTTTTGGTTTCCATTTGCATGCTATGTCTTTTTCCATCCCTTCACTGGTAGTCTGTGTTTGTGTCTTTATAGGGGAGGTGAGTTTCTTGAAGACAGCATATAGTTGAGTCTAGCTTTTTAATCCAATCAGTCAGTATGTGTCTTTTGAATGGGGAGTTTAATCTATTTATATTTAGGGTTGTTATGGAGAGGTATTATTTTACTCCTGGCATTATATTGCTTTTTGTTTAGATATTTTAAATACCTTTTTTTCCTTTCTTCCCCCTTTATTATTCGTCTTCAGTGTTTGTTGGTTTTTTTGATGTGTTAAGATTTAGTTTCTTTTTCTTTCTCATTTGCATTTTTGTTTTACCAGTGGGTTTTGTTCTTTCTTTGTATTCATGGTAGTGATTATTGTTTTTTGGATTACAGATGCAGGATTCCTTTGAGAATTTCTTGCAGGGCTGGGCATGTGGTGGTGAACTCCCACAGTTTTTGTTTGGGAAATATATTATTTGTCCCTCATTTCTGAAGGATAGCCTTACTGGGTACAGTATTCTTGGCTGGCAATTTTTTTCTTTTAATAGTTTTAATATATTCTCTCATTTTCTTCTGGCCTGCAGAGTTTCAGTTGGGAAGTCTGATGTTAGTCTGATGGGGGCTTCCTTCCAGGTGACTAGACTTTTAGGATTCTCTGTCTTCAAACTTTGCCAGTTTCACTATAATGTGTCTTAGGGAGGATCTTTTTGGATTGAATCTGTTTGGGGACCTTTGAGCTACTTGGATCTGAAGGTCTGTGTCTCTCCCTGTACCTGGGAAGTTTTCTTTTTCTTTTTTTTTAAAAGATGACCAGCAAGGGGATCTTAACCCTTGACTTGGTGTTTTCAGCACCATGCTCTCCCAAGTGAGCTAACCGGCCATCCCTATATGGGATCCGAACCCGTGGCCTTGGTGTTATCAGCACCGCACTCTCCCGAGTGAGCCACGGGCCGGCCCCGGAAGTTTTCTGTTATTATTTCATTGAATAGATTTTCAATGCCTTTTCCTTTACCTCCCCTTCTGGAATACCCATGATTTGGGTGTTTGTGCACTTAAAGTTGTCTGCTAGCTCTCTTGGATTTTCTTCATTTTAAAAAATTCTTTTTCCCTTTTTTTTTGTCTGCCTGGGTTATTTTGAAAAGACGCCTTCAAGGTCTGAAATTCTTTTTTCTGCTTTCCCATAACAGAGGAAGAATATGTCCTTTTAGTTTTCAAAAACCACTTAAAAATGTATGATTTTATAAAAGAATTGTTCGAATGGATTTATAGGTCCAAATTAGACACTTTGATGGGATAGGTTATATTCTTTTAGCTTATCCTCTTTCATAGCACAGTTAGCTCTTCATTCTATTTTCTCCCTTCTGTTAAATGTGTTGAGAAAGGGAATAAGTCATCTTTTCTATATTTTTCTTTTTAAACCAAAGCAGAAAGAAGTGTTTGGTGAATGATAATCTGCTGTTGATAAAGTATTCTACTTAATTTAAGATTGATGCTAACATTTCTTAGCTTGTTTTAATTACTTCTGTCATCTGGTAGCTAAGGATTCGTGACCTTGAAGGAGCTTTGCAAGTAGAAAAGGCCAGCCAAGCAGAAGCTGTGGCTGATTTGGAAATGATCAAGAAGGAATTCAAAGAAGTTGAAAGTGCATATGAGCGAGAAAAGCATAATGCACAAGAGAGCTTTGCCAAACTAAATTTGTAAGTATTTTACTATAAAATTCTCTAAATTAATATAAAGATTTTATAAAAGGTGGATATGTATGAATGTGTAATATTTTAGATATAGCTACCATTGATGTCAGTGGTAGATTGGGGGTGAAGGACTTCATAAACATAACTGTATTTCCCTATGTAGGTAAATATGGAAATGCTCTTTTGAATTTTGAAGTATTCCAAGTAGTTTCACAAATATAGTTATACTCTAAAAAGTAAATATGTTAATGTACTTTGCATTATATTTATTAATGGAATGCAGTATCTTTAAAGACCTTGACTTCTAGGCCACATGTAATGGTCTAGGTGGAGATGGGTAATGTTTAAGGTTTTCTCAAACTGCAGAAATAATAGTTGTATCAGTTGCAGTACTATTAGTGGTTAACATGCGTTGAGATTTTCTCAAACTGCAGAAATAATAGTTGTAGCAATAGGAGTACTGTTAGTGGCTAACATGCATTGTGGCTTACTACATACCTAGCGTTGTATAGTTTCATTTAACTTATCCAACACCTTATGAGGTAGCTACTTTTTTTAAATCCCTGTTTTACAGATGTGGAAATTGAGACTTAATGACGGTAAGGACATATAGCTCATAAGTGACAGAGTCAGAATCTTTCTGACTCCTACTGATTTTAACCTTTTTTAGCTCAAAAGCCTTTCATCTTAAAAATTCTGTGAAATGCCTTAAGACGTTTGTAATGCTTTATTGTGTTTCCAAAAAATAAGTAAATAGTAGACATTTTAAACCATTTCCCCCTAGATGGTGAAATTCGTACTACCTTTGGTATGTGATATGATATTAGGTTGGTACATGAGCTATATATTTATTTTTAATGTTAGTTTCTATTTATGATAAGTAGATAGTGTTTTTCCATTTACAGTGAAAGTATAAAGATTTCTTTAAAAATTATTTAATATAAGAAGTGAGTTCATTTAAAGAAAATTATTACTTAAATAATAGTAATTATTATGAATATGTCAAAAATCCTAAAGCTGGAACTTGAAAGGCTGAAGTTTGAAAAAATTTACAACTCTATTTTTTAATTGCAATTGCTTTTATTAGTAGTGCTTGTAATATTTTAACCCAGTTATTCTTAACTGAATTTTCTTGCTTCCTCTAGTATGACTTAAATGACATTCTGTGAATGTTATTCTGAGTCATTTCTCATTTTCCTTTATTTCTTTTGAATATTTCTGCTTGAATCTGCACATTTAATGTATTTGAATGAATTCAAATATTATTCAAATACGTATTCAAATATTATTCTGCATATAAATATATTTGAAGGGCTTTTTGTAGAATATAGTGCAAGTTTCTTTACTGTTGCTTTGAGGTAATGATTAGGACCTACAAGGGGAACAGTAAGAAGTCAGACTGAGCTCCCAACAATTAAAGCTTTCTTTTTTTCCTTTTTGTCTTTTTTACTGACTGGTAACGGGATCGCAACCCACGGTGTTGCGCCCATACCGGGGACCGGCAACGGGATCGCAACCCTCGGTGTTGCGCCCACACTGTGCTCAGCCAGTGAGCGGGAACCAGTCTCCACATGGGATCCGAACCCTCAGCGGGAGCGCCGCTGCGCTCCCAAGCGGCGCACTCTCCAGTGCGCCACCGGGCCGGCCCGTAGCTTTCTAACAATGAAATAATAGGTATCTTTGGGGAACTAGTGAACTCCCTGCCTTGGGAAATTTAAAGCAGAGGGTGGATGATTCAATATCATGGATGTTGAAGAAGAGAGTCCTACAAAGGTCAGAGTGGCAGAATTTTAATATACCTGGTAACAGTTAAGCTCTAAGACTATAACTTGTGTACTCTTTTAATTGGACCCCAAAGCAAATGTTTCCTTAAAGTTTGTTCTGCTGTTATTTGTGTTTTGGTGCTTGAAATTTTTATTCGAATTTTGTATTCCAGTAAGTAGGTAATATTAGTTACATATTCAAACTAAGCACTAGCTAAAAATCCTTAATGTTTTAACTTAATGTCCCTTATCTATTCTTCATCTCTGTATAACTGTACTGTAATAATAAAAGTTAAATAATAATAAATAAATAATAAAGATTAAGTAATAATTAAAGTCCAGTAGTCACTGATAGTTCCTATTACTCCCTTCTCTCATCTCGTCGTCTTTTCTTTGTATGTAATATGACAACCACTTCCATTCTAATCATCAGTGTTATGAGAAGGAATGATATGACTTGAGGGATGATTGAATGTTATTTTATTTTCTACCTGTACTTCTGACTATATCTTCGTAATCCTTTTAAAAAAATATTTTAAAACCTTTTAGAGTCAAACTCTCAAACATTAATTTTTCAGAGTAGTTCTAAGTTTTGGTTAATGTATTCTAAAAGGAGGCTTGATAGATTTTAGGTCTTTAAAGTAAATCATTTCATTTAACTCACAACTTTGACAGTACAGAGTTTTGGGTAGGATATTGTTTTACATCCCGAAAGGAAGAACTGGTGTAGCAATTGGTGATAATGAAGTTATAGAGAAAATGCTGCCTGAACCTTGCCAGTGTTAAGGTTCTTAAAGCATCTATTTCTTGCCAGGCATATCTAGGTAGGATCTCACTAAAAGCTGTGTGTATATTTCAGAGTTATAATTTTAGTCCACAGTTTCTTGGCAACAAACCTACCTGCATGAAATTATTTTAGATGGAATACATATATTCCATAATTCTATAGTTAAATTTTCTTAGTTGTGAATTTTTTTCATCTAAAACTTGCAGTATGAAACTAAAGCTTTTCAGTAATCTTTTTATATTAGAGTTTTAAAATATAGTCAAGTCTTAACTAGTTGTGGTAACTGATTGCTGGGCAGTAGTAGGGAGAAGGAGATCATGGTAATCATTAAATCTAGTTTAAATTTAAATTTAATTTAAAACATACTAGTCAAAGATTTGATACTGAATGGACTGCATCTAAATTTATTTATTTCATTATGCTCAATATTTAGGAACTTTTTGGCCCAGATAGCTGCCACAGCAAGCCCTGCAGCTCAGGGGCCCCAGGGGCCCTGGGGATAAGTTTGACTGTGGACATTATGCAAAAAAAAAAAAAAGGAAAAGAAAAAAAGAAAAAAGAAAAAAATTTCTTGGAACTTCTTTATTTTTTCTAAATGTGTCACCCAAAGTATAAAAATAACATATGTATTGTAATCTAGTAGCACTGTTATCATTTACATTCTTGGTGAAAGATAGCCCAAAGATGCTGTTTGTTAAAATAGCTCGTTGTTGTCAAATTATTCCCTGAGCTCATTAAAAAGAAAAACAAAAAACCAGGGCCGGCCCCGTGGCTCACTCGGGAGAGTGCGGCGCTGGCAGCGCCGAGACCGTGGGTTCGGATCCTAAATAGGGATGGCCGGTGCTCTCACTGGCAGAACGTGGTGCAGACATCACCGTGCCAAGGGTTGCGATCCCCTTACCGGTGTCAAAACAAAAACAAAGGGAATCCAGTCAGAAAGAAGGCATCCTAGCTATAGGCTTCCTTCTTCTCCCTTTCCTTTCTTGCCTAAATCCTCCACCTTTCAATTCCTGACTCCTATCAGAATTCAAAGAGATAGGGGCTCCCTTTAACCTGCCCTACTCCTGTCCTATTTATTCCTTTTTGTTTGGGGCTGATGGCAGAAGCGTAGGAGCCAGCTTCTTTGGATTGCACAAGAGATTGCTAACACTGAGGGATGTTTCCCCATTTCAGTTTGGATTTACAAATTAGTACAAAATGACAGATACATTTAATTTTATATTTGCTGAATAATAGTAATTTTTAATTAAAATCTTGATTTTTATTAAGTTAACAGTTGTACATAGTCTAAAAATAAAACAGTACTGTTAGGCTAATGAAAAACAGTAGTTTTATGCTCCATTTTTCTATACTGCCAGTTTCCACTCTTTTGAGGCAACTACTTTTAATTTTTATCACTGTTTCTTCTTATATTTAACTTCCTATTTCTAGGTAGCATGCATATTCTGCCATTTTTTCAATTTCCACCTTTAGATATTATCTACTGGCCTGTACTTATTTGTCTCTATCGTAGGCTTCTCCCATAGAACATACACTATTCCTTCCCTCTTCCCATCCTTTCAACAGAATTATATTTTTGGGTTCAGTGAACTTTATTTTTTCTAAACTTTTTTTTAGTAACCCATCTTTATTTTTCTTTATAGCACATTATGCTATATTCTTTGTTGTTCGTTGTCTGTCCTTTGAAGAGGGGAACTTTGTTTTGTTCATTGCTGTTTACTAGTGAGTGCCTAGAATAGTGCCTGGTATGTAAGACCTGCTAAATTAAGATTTGCTGAATCACCAAATGAAATAATAGTAAATAATTGCCTAATTTTAAATCGGACTACTTTATGTGATTAACCAGTGCTTAACCAGTGTGATTAATATAGGTGATTAGCCAATCACTAAGTTATTCCTGAACTCTCTAACAGAATTGAAAACCTCTCATTATGTTTCTAGATCTCAGAAATTCTGTCGTTTTAAGTTTCTTCTATGAGAAATGCCTCATGGACTACTCTCTGTACCTTCTCCATCTGGACAAATTGTTTTTTAACTTCCCTTTACACAGTCATCCTAGAACTTCCCTTTAACCTCATTCTTGGAATTACCTCTACTTCTCTTTTATCCTGGATCCTTCATTTGCTAATCTCTTGCCTTCTTCCTTGTTTGATTTATACCGTTGTAAAGTAGCTTCTTGAGAAATTATATGTCAGAGGAAAATTTAAAACTTGCATTCTGAAGATTTTTTTTTTTCCTGTATAGGGATCTGAACCCATGGCTGTGGTGTTATCAGCACTGCACTCTCCTGAGTGAGCCATGGGCTGGCCCCTGAAAAAGTTTTTGATCTTCACCCTTTTTCATAGTTCATGTGGCTATTCTTTTTTTTTTTTTTTTTCCTTTTTGTCTTTTTTCGTGACCGGCAACGGATCGCAACCCTCAGTGTCGCGCCCGCACCGGACCGGGACCGGCAACGGGATCGCAACCCTCGGTGCTGCGCCCGCACCTCGGTCAGCCAGTGAGCAGCCGGTCTGTATGTGGGATCCGACCCCTTGGCGGGAGCGCCGCCGCACTCCCAAGCGGCACACTGTAGCAGTGCGTCACCGGGCCGGCCCCTCATGTGGCTATTCATTTGGTTCTAGTGTTGGGGAAGTGTAAAGTTATTTGATTCCAGATCTTTTGTACGTGGTCTGTATTTTCCAATGGAAACTTATAGTACAGACTAGTCAGCAAGTCTGGAATCATAGGCACATATATAAAACGGTTTACTTTTCTTACATTATAATACATGATAAAATAGTGTATATGTATTTTTATGCTCTTTGGACACACCATAGAATTTGCTCTTTGTTCTCAGTGTTCTGAAAATTTTTTTCATTCTTTTTGCTGGGCACTTATTGAGCTCTTTCAATAGTAGAGACTCAAGTAATTAATTTCCAGGATATTCTCTTGTGTTACAGCTTTGTTGATTTTTTCCTTTCCATTTTTTTCACCTTCTTTTTCTGGAACTTTCATTATTTATATGTTGGGATTTCTGGATTGATTTTCTAATTTTCTTATCTTTTCTCTACTTAGATCTATTTTTATTGTTTAATTCTGCTTTCTGGGAGAGTTACATAACTGTAGCATCTAATCCTTCTATGCATGTTTATTTTAAATTTTAGCTATTCCACCTAGGAATATCCTTGATCCAAAGGATTAGCACTAGAATTGTCTGTGTTCCACCCTAGAGAAAAGAATGTTGACCGTTCAGAGTAATGTCAAATTTAGTTGTTTATTTGATTAGAGTGTGAATGTAGTATGGATTTGGTTATACTGAGTCATCCCATCTCCTATATTACAGCTTAAAAAATAGCAGAAAAGGGTCTACTCCATTCATCAGAAAGATCTCAGATTAAAAATAGTGGCAGCACTTTAATTTGAATTAAAATTATCCATTTGGTAGATTATCTAAACAGGAAGGCATATACTTTGAAAAGAAATTCATGTGTCTTCAAGGTGAATGTGAATGATTTTTGATTATTCTTCCTTATGGATTTCCATGCCACCACACCAGTTCTACTTGCATGGACATTTAGGAATAAATTTGTCCATTTCTAATGTTGTGCTTTAATTTTAAAATTGTTTAGTAAGACTGTTTTCTCAGTCTTGAGGCAGTTTGTGAGCTAATTGAACTGTGGGGGGTGGGTTTTGTTCATCAAAATAATGGTAAGACCAAATCAACACTAACCAAATATACTTCGCTTGGGTATAGGACAGATACCTGCGACCAAAAGGCAAGTATTATTCTTTTAAAGTCTTTCATTTAAGAATGTGTGATCCTTTTTATTTGAAAAAAGGGAAGGTGGCCTTTAAAACAGTCTGTTGGCATGAAAACATGATATATAGTACACCTGCCACTTGTGTTAAAGGTGTATCATAGCAGCTGATCAAAGCATATTTGAAAAACCTGTTCTGACACTTTAACTTTTCAGATTAGAGAGAGAGAATTTCTCCAAAAACAAGAAACTAAATGAAAAGATTGAGGAACAGAAGAAAGTAATTATAGACCTTTCAAAGAGACTCCAGTATAATGAAAAAAGTTGCAGTGAATTACAGGAAGAACTTGTAATGGTAAGGATGAAAAAGAAAACCCTTTGGCAATTACTTTATTGGGTCATATTCGATGTGTAGCAGGTCCCCCCCGCCCCCACTATATACTGTGAGATAATAGTATGAAAGTAATTTTAGTGACATTGGTATGAAACTTCAAAACTGGCAATTCTGATTATGTCGAAGATACACAAAATAAAACCTCTCTGATTTGAAATAATTAGGGAAACTAACCAAATTAGTAAAAACTCTGAATTATAGAGTGTTTTAAAGTATAATCAGGAGTTTTTCTCTTTCTTTTTCTTTTTTTTTGAAGTGTGTGCATAATATTACCTAGGTGGAGGAGGGATCAGGGTTTATAATCAGTAGATATGCTTATTTCAAAAACTTCCTTTTGTAATCATTTTGTACCTGATCACTCCATCTCCATCCCCCAGTATATTTGTCTTTTTAAAATTGACCTGTTCTTGTCAACCTCCCTTTATTCAAAAACCATTGATGTCTCCCTGTTGCTTTCAGAGTAAACTCCAGCTTCTTGTCATGTAACTTAAGCTTCTTTTCCTTTTGGCTTCATATTAACTTCTCTAGCTGCTTCTTTTGCCTTTGCTCTTTGTCTGTCATGCTTCAGTCACTTTAGAGTGCTCCTGGCTTTCTCAACACGCATTTTCATATCTTCTTAAGTTTGTTCAGGCTATTCATTTTTTTTGGCCCAATTGACTTAAATGCTTCTCTTCTTTTCCGTTGACAAATTCCTATACATCTTGTAAAACCCAACTCTGATATCTTGCTTTTCATGATGCTATCTCTTCCTACTCTCCCATCCACCCTAAGTCAGAATTCTGCCTCTCTCTAACTATGTTTCTTTAGTAGTTTAGCATCTTTATTACAACACTCACCAAAATCTGATGTGTATCATCTCTCTGAAGAGACTTTGAATACATTGAGGTTAATTCAATTTACATACCCAGATTTCACTATAGAATTTGCCTCAATAAATATCTTTTGGATCGATTTATTTGGTTGATGCAGAATACTCCTACTCTGCAGTTTGCTGGGAATCCCAACAGGGAGGGCATAACGTTTCTAGTAATACCTACTACCTCTTTGTCTTGCTCTCCACGCACATACCTTCCTCAGAGACTTGGCTACCTTACTTACAGTTATATCCCACAACTCTTTGTGACTTCAGTTATTGAGGAAAATGAATATTATTTCTTTTCAAAAAAGTTTGGGACTCTGGGTTATACAAAGAATTGGTGGCCAAATTAATGCTGCCCATCTAGAAAGGTAATGATGGGATAAAATTAAAACTCTTCAGCATCCCCAAATGATCCGATATTATATATAGTCTCCATTCATCTCAAGATATTGATTATCATTGTTTGCTCTGTAGTCCAATTTGTAGCTTGGGTATTTTTAATGTTGGTTTTTTTTTGGAAAGTTAAGAGCTCTCTGTGTGGTATATGTGGTGTCTGTTCACTGCAAAGTCCTACCTCTTAACTTCTGGTTCAGGAGGATGAATACATCAGGGTCCTTGAGGTGAGTACTGGATTTGGTTTGCTTGCTTATTAGACATTGTACTTAATAGTTTAGAAAGTAAGCCAGAGTCATAAGTAAGAGTGAAATAGGTAAGACGTAAGTCACTAATATAGGTATCATGAATTCTCCTAGTCCTGCCCTTCTAGCACTCCAGTGACTAAATACAAAATAAAATGAGACTGGCTTAACTCACCACAGAGGGTATGGGTCCCTTTTGATTGAAAACTTTTACTTTGACATGGTGATTTCCATTCTTCTGGGTATATTCCCAGCAGTGGAATAGCTGGGTCATATGGTAGATCTATCTGTAATTGTTTGTCGAAGAGATACCTGTACCCCAATGTTTATTGCAGCACTGTTTACGATAGCCAAGAGTTGGAGCCAGCCCAAATGTCTATCATCAGATGAGTGAATACAGAAGAAGTGGTATATCTACATAATGGAATTCTACTCTGCTATAAAAAAGAATGAAATACTACCACTCACAGCAACATGGATGGACTTAGAAAAAATCATGTTAAGTGAAATAAGTCAGGCACAGAAAGAGAAATACCACGTTCTCACTTATTTGTGGGAGCTAAAAATAAATAAATATACAGACAAATGGGGGTGGGCGGGGAAGAAGACACAACAATCACAATTCCTTGAACTTGTTAAGACAAGTGAACAGATATGATGTTGATGGGTGGGAGGGGGGAGGGGGAGGGCGAAGGGAGGAATTGGTAAAGGGACACGAAAATCAACTACATTGTATATTGATAAAATAAAATAAAATAAACAACAACAACAACAACAAACCTTTTACTTGATACCAACAATTTTTTTTGAACTTTTTCAGTTTGATGAATGGTCTAAAATAAGGCAAGTTACAGCTCAAGTTGTGTGGACCCTTGACACTTACTCTGTCAAACACTATTGTTTTGATAATGGTGCTAAAAATTATAGACTAATTATTTCTTCAGAGCTTGATGGACTGCTAAAAGCAGTTACAGATCTGTGAATAACACTTCCTTGCTGAAGAGCTAATAGGATGTTCAAAAATTTTTTTTCAGGTTGCACCCTAAGAGATGTGCAGTTTATGTGGTTCATACTGTTTGTATGTCCCTTCCTATTTTTTTAATGTCTGTAAAACTCCGAGCCTTGTGTCTTTTCTTTCATCTTTCTGTTTTCTCTTCCTTCTCTTATTTTCTTCCCTACTAGCTTTCTCTTTTAACTTTTTCTCTTTTATGCCTATTAAATTGTTGTTCCCTTTTTCTTTACCTGACCATAATATGAAATTTAAAAATTATTTAATGAAAATTTAGTTAATGAAAGTACTATTAGAGATTGAGTATCCCTTATCCAAAATGTTTGAGACTGGAAGTGTTTTGGATTTCTGATTTTTTTGGATTTTGTAATATTTATATACACGTTTTAAGTTATGTTGCAGATGGGACCCAAGTCTAAACATGAAATTCATTTGTGTTTAATATACACCTTATACACATAGCCTGAAGGTTATTTTATATAATATTTTAAATGATTTTTGTGCATGAAACTTTTGACTATGACCCATCACATGAGGTCAGGTGTGGAATTTTCTACTTGTGGCATCATTTTGGAACTCAGAAAGTTTCTAATTTTGGAGCATTTCAGATTTTGGATTTTTGGATTATGGATGCTGAGTCTGTACTTTAAATAGTAAGTACAATTTTTTTTTTTTGTGACCGGCCGCACAGCGCTCAGCCAGTGAGCACTCCGGCCATCCCTATATAGGATCCGAACCCGCGGCGGGAGCGCGCTGCTGTGCTCCCAGTGCCACACTCTCCTGAGTGCGCCACGGGGTCGGCCCTACAATTTTTTTAAAAAAAATTTTATTTTATTTTGTCAATATACAATGTGGTTGATTATTGTGGCCAATTACTAAAGCCTCCCTCCCTCTCTCTCCCCCCTCCCTCCCAACAAGGTCCTTTCTGTTCGCTTGACATATCAATTTCAAAGAATTGTAATTGTTGTGTCTTCTTTCCTCCCCCCCACCAGTATAATTGTGTATTTATTTATTTATTTTTAGCTCCCACAAATAAGAGAGAACATGTGATATTTCTCTTTCTGTGCCTGACTTGTTTCACTTACTATAATTCTCTCTAGGTCCATCCATGTCGTTGCAAATGGCAGTATTTCATTCTTTTCTAAAGCAGAGTAGTATTCCATTGTGTAGATATACCACCTTTTCCGTATTCACTCATCTGATGATAGACATTTGGGCTGGTTCCAACTCTTAGCTATTGTAAATAGTGCTGCAGTGACCATTGGAGAACAGGTATACCTTCGATTTGATGATTTGCATTCCTCTGGGTATATTCCCAGCAGTGGTATAGCTGGGTCATATGGTAGATCTATCTGCAATTGTTTGAGGAACCTCCATACCATTTTCCATAGAGGCTACACCATTTTGCAGTCCCACCAACAATGTATGAGTTCCTTTTTCTCCGCAACCTTGCCAACATTTACCGTTCACAGTCTTTTGGATATTAGCCATCCTAACTGGGGTGAGATGGTATCTCAGTGTAGGTTTGATTTGCATTTCCCGGATGCTGAGTGGCGTTGAACGTTTTTTCATATGTCTGTTGGCCATTGCCTACTTAGCTCTTTTGCCCATTTTTTAATTGGGTCGCTTGTTTTGTTCTTGTAAAGTTGTTTGAGTTCCTTGTATATTCTGGATATTAATCCTTTATC